GAAAACCAGCAGTTCGTGTTTTTGTATGTCATAGGTTATTTATAATCAAATTGTTGATTTAAAAGTACTGGGTGACTCATAAACGATTAGTTTCTAACCTAAAAAAATCTTGGTAACAACACAAACAGTTTTATTTTTGTATACGTATAGCTTTTAATAAGTTGTGCTTTACAAATATGGCCAAATTAACTGAATCTTAATATTCTGTGTGATTTATCGTGTTATGAATTACCCTGTATTTAACATCAATGTTCATTATTAACTATTAAACAATTAACTCTATTACCTTTACTATTGCTAGTTACTATAGTATTTCTAGTAAATTATGTATATTGCAAAATATATGCCGATATATTTTTTTAAAAATAGACATATTCGTTTCGATCACTGTAGATTATTTAGCGTTTTCAATAGTTTAATACTATTCCATCCGTTTTTGTACAACAATAACAAAATATTTATACTATTAAACGTTTGTTTTAGAGATAATAGATCTTGTGATATACTTATCTTTAAGCTTCAATATATAGGACCAAATGTATCACAAGTGAACTTCGTATCCAATTTTGGAAAAATACTCAACAACGATTGAAAAGTATTATCACACCCTTGCATAAAAACAGCAATTAAAGATCGTGGGAATGCTTGCTTTGAGAAATCTAGAAATCAGCTTTTTTCATATTGCATTTAAATATCTTTCTAGATAGTCTTCCATCAACACATTTAATGTACCTATCTTCAAGTCAAACTGTTGCTTAATACGGCAACGGAAATTTACTTTGGTCAAGCTGCCTCTAAGAGCTATTAGGCTATGTAGAAAAATAGAGCTTCAAAATTTGCACACCCAGTTCAATACCGGTGTAACTTCAAATGTTTTAATTTTAAGGTGAACGAACTTTCAGAAGCTAGATACAACTACTAGGTACCTTTGCTATCTCATTTGAAACCTTGATTTGAAATGTGTAAAAAGCAATTATGGCAGTATGGAATTGGGAGTGTAAATTGTTAGAAATTAATGCTGGTTGTCTTTGATTTGTGGACTACCCCTGACGTTCTAAGCGTGAAGCCTGATTGGATACGGAGGTCGCAGTATTAACATATACTTACAAATGATTGTATTTTGTAATCAAAAATAAATTACGCTCTAATTCTGGGACCTAAGCGTGTTGATGTATTTCTCAGTAGATCGCCTTTTTTCTAAGAGTAATTATTATTGACGGTATTAATGGTATAATACAATGCAGAAATATTTCAAATACGGTATGTCAGTTGTTAATGATAAAGGTGTTTATGACTATTGGTTCTCACTAAAATCTTCAAAAGTCGTGGCGCATATTTTTTAACCGTATAAGACGTTCACAAGTAAAGGATCCACTTTCAGTTCTTACTAGTATTTGTGGTTTGAACCTTAACCTCAGCTCAAATTTTTTCATGTGAAACAACAACATATTGATTTACTTATACGTACATACGTGAACCGTCAAGTTGAGGCAAAATGTATAGTAGACATGATTAATGGTTTGTTACTTGGTGAAACAATAGAATTATTTTCTTGAGTGGATGGATATGATTAGCTATATTTAATAAGTTACGAGGGGAGTTGCATTGTGGATAATTCTAGGAGTAGAATGTAAGCAGCGACAAGTACATGAAAAAAACATACAGTGACTAACGCAATCTTGAAATTTTTAAATCTTGAAAGATCCTGTAAAGGACCCCGCACAAAAAATATGGGAACTTGGTCTCAGCCGGTTTGTCTAAAATTTGAGTATGACATATTTGTCGAATTCCTCAAGAAAGTTTTTTTATGGGACGACAGCAATGCTATGTCCAGTTTCTGAGAAATAGGGGCGGGAGTTTGTTCGATTTGCACATATGGTGGATATGTCGACTGTGTTCAGAGAATATTTATGCTAGAAAAAGTATTTCCTTTCAAAATACTTCTAGAACTGCGTTTTGAACCTTCCCGTTTAAAGACTGTTTTGCTGTTTTTATTTCCTCGCGCAATTGAATGCTCTGTTTATCAACTTCAGCACGGCTTGCCATAGTATCTGGCAGAATACAAAGCATTCAGATTTTTTCGAGTAGAGCAATCTTATTTTTCATAGCTTCCTGAGAAGGTTTTGCTCTCTGTTCATCTGTATTTTCATTAATTTCGCATTGCTGTTGTGATTCATTACCGGGTTTTATATTATCTTCTTCCTCTTTTTTAATATTTGAATCTGACTGTATAATTTGTATTTTTCTGCAGGTTTACAGGTTGCCTAAAAATAAAAACTTTCTATGGCTTCTGCTAAAGATTCTCTTATTAAGCTAGATAAATACAAAGTATGGCAATATAAATGGGAAATACATAACCCTATGGCTTTAAATTTAATATGTTTAAACGAGCAATCCGTTCCGGTCACAAAATACAGGGTGTAAGTTTTCTGTTTGCATGTATAAACTAACATCCTGTACTTTGTGACCAACTGACGGAATCAATCATAAGAAATAAATCTATAATATAATGATTATTACCTCTATACTTTGAGATAGGCCATAATATTTTCTAATCAGCAAAGATAAACTTTTTGGCGATTTCCAATATTTCTAGTACTTATAGGTACCTAAAATGATTTCGTCACTCATCTTAGAAAAAAAATTTAGTAGATTAATAATAATAATATCTAGTTCCTTGTCGGATTTTGCTTGTAATTTGCAATTTCGCCACACTTCGTGAACTAAGCTTTGTACGTTTTGTACTTTCGTACTTGTATGAGATTTTTTAAAACTTTCAATTAATTTTTGGTATAACTTGGATTTGTATATATATGTGAAACGACATCTTATTTAAACATTAAACTTTGGCTAATGGAATCAATGGTAACAACACAAATGTTAACTTGCTTTACTATGCTTACAATACGTCTACTCGCTATAGTATTCAAACGAATCAATACACTAATAGAGGAAATTTAGACAAGTGAACCCCGGCCCGGTAATTCCCCTACTCGGTTCTAAAGCGAGTAGGGGAATTACCGCGCACTGTTCACTAAACGTATGCGTTTCGTTATCAAGCAAAGACAATGTGAGGGTTGCCATTCGTGTAAAAAAGTAAATAACTACCGATGACGTAATCATCATCTAGACTCCCCTACCCCCCATGTCATCCAAAATAAGCAAAGCAAAGACCCCCCGCCCCCCACAGTACTTGAACGGCCCCTAAGTAGTAGAGAGAAAAAGCCAAATGATCTCGTCATTCACAAATCTTAGATAACAAGTTATCATGCTTTGTTTCTATAATGATTAATTGTGATAATAAAAATACTCAGATAAATTTAAGAAACAAAATATCTAGGTGTACCTGTATATTTAGACTCAAATTTAAAGTGAAATATCATGGCAAATCGATGCATTTCGACCTAAATTGATCGCCGTTAGGACCGATTCGGAATCGAGCCTAAACAGATTCACAATTCAATAAAGTGTACCCTCAAAATTAAACCATTATTTGAGCGTAGAGAATAAACTAACGCATATTTTCAACATGCATCTTAATTCAAGGAAGTAGTGCAATTTATTGGCAACGCGGCAGATTGCTAGACAACGCGGTGATGATCCTCGCTATCCAGCCAATTTCTATCTCTTCTTAACATATGTGTCTATACTCACCTCTCTCTCATGCGCATTGAACTCAAGCTGTCAGACAAATTTTGTTCTCAGTGTATAGGCTTGCTTTGGTTCCAGGAGAACTTTCGTTCAGGAAGTCGAAAAATATATCATACCGAACTCTTAGACCAAACAACGAGCCTCCATTTTCCATACGTTCTGCGCGGGTTCCTTAAAAAATTGGGGTCTCAGGTCGTTTTGAAAATGTTTAATTCTACGAGAATCCTGCAACTTTCGAAAAAATTACCAGTATAATCCAAATTTACAAAGCTTGTGAAGGCAGCTGTTACATTTTACTATAAAACGCAGATGTTAATCCTGAAAGAAGCGTTATTGGTTGTCTAAGTTCCAACGGGAGCTCGTTTCTCAAACACCTCTCAAACCTCAAAGATGTAACCCTGAATCAATTACCCTTTAAAACAATTGAAGCAGGTTATCCATACGATCCCGCAATATGAAACAACCCTCGTAACGTTTCATGTAAATGTATACATACGCCCAGGCCCGCGTATGATATTCTATCGTGTATCATGATAATAATGACAACAAAATTAGAATCGTCTACGTACGTTATCGATTCCACTGGCATACCCCTTTCTGTCTATGTAATCAAGACCATCCATATTTTATCGAACCCAATGGAGGAACAAAGATAATCTAGTTCGTGGAGGATTTGGGTCAGGGTTGCAACCACTCACAGTTTTGTCGTAAGTCAGACCAAAGTCCTTTCTACATGGCACGTCCCTTTTTTCAACAGCTTGTCTGGAGGAGCATTCTTAATACTTTTTGTCTGATTGTTTGATGGTGTGTATAAAAATGAACGACAAAGAATGTTATCAGTTTCTTTTTTGTAAAAAATGCATTTTTGTGCAACTTTTTTTAATCATAACTCGTTAACAAATATTAGTACAGATTTATAATTGTATGTGAATATTCCACGTTTTTTATCACGTACTCTCTTCAAATAAGTCTACGTTTTTCTTGAAAACTCATTTTGCTGCAAAATGGCGTTTAAATCTCTTGAAGTGGAATTCCGACATTTAATTTCAGCGCTATATTAATATTTGTTAACAAGTTACGATTGAAGAAAAATGCAGAATAAAACGCACAAAAAATGCTTTTTTGACAAAAAAATGTACGAGCCCCTTCCCACTTCGATTGGCCCACTTCAGGATTTGTACCAAAATACGCCTTTATAAACTAAACACGACGAAACTATTTAATTCTAAAACAATTTATTTTCTCAAAAACATTTTAGATACACTCTAGTCGTAAAAAATACATATTTGAAATCACATCTGAACAAATAAACAATGTGCGAATAAATGCGCGAAGCAACAATTGAAAGATTACCATCGGGTAACACCACCTTTATTTTTTATTACGGCTGAAATTCTTTGGCGCATAGTGTTAAACAAGTTTTGGCAAAAATTTGGTGTAAAACAATCCCATATTTCTTGAAGCTTTTGTCTCAGTTCGGTGATTGTACGAGCAGGATGTTGTCGTAGAACCTTTTTCATCTCGTGGCACAAAGTTTCGATAGGTGACAGATCTGGACTGCTAGAAACCCATTTCAAAAGTGGTACATTATTTTCTTCCATCCATTTTATAGACTTTTTTGAGGTATGGCACGCTGCACCATCTTGCTGAAACATACAATCTTGGCCGGATGTCAAACATTCTTCCATCACTCGTAAAAGCAATTCTCTAAATTTGCCAAATATTTGTTTGTATCCACATTTCCATCAATAAAATGTAGTTTTCCTACTCTTTTTGATGACATACTGCCCCAGACCATAATGGATGCTGGAAATTTCACTTTTCTCTTCAGACAGTCAACATGGAATGCCTCATTTTTTTTTTATTAACTCTACTGCGACTATAACCAACACAAACTTCGAATTGGGCCTCATGACTCCATTGTATTGCACACCATTGTTGAGGTGTCCATTGTCTATGTTCTTTAGCCCATCTAAGCCGATTTTTCTTTTGCAGTGGAGTTAATAGAGGCTTTTCTTTGGCCTATAAACAAGTTGTGCAACTTTAGGGTCTTTACTTCTTTGTGATATTACTTTTTTTCACATATCGTGGCTTAATATTAACTGAACCAGTTACGTTATATCTTCTAACAATATTTCTAACTTTGTACTATAACACTGTTTTTCAGTCATCTTTATATACACCATGGAATAACCATAAGTAATATCATAATCTAATTTTTCCGATTTCTTTCACAGGAAAAATTAGAGGCCTGGATGGCATCTGACATGATTATTCATAAAATTCATATAATAAATCTCTTGCATTTTTCTGTAACGGTATTCCACATTGTCTTCACAACTAGTTCTTTGTAATTTTCACCGTTTTATTTCTTCATAATCCACGCCCAATCTTTCAGGGTTGGGTTTAGCTGCTCTAAACTTGTAGATTCCAAAAGCTCGTAATTCCTTGCCTTGCAGAATTCCGTAAACTGTTTCTATATTGATGTGTATGTATACAGGGTGTCCGTAAAGTTGGGGTTTTCCTTTTCAGAAACAACTACCCTTGAAATAACAAAAGTAATGTGTAGTGAAACGAGGACGACCAAGTAAAAAAAAATAAAGGAAAAAGTACTCACTCTGCAGTTGACGAGAAGGGCTAACTACGTCTCTGTCCAAAATCATACCGCTCCAACAGAAAATGAAATCAGCTGAAGCGCTACCGAGCAGACGCAGAAACCACATTGATTGTCTTACACTTAATGGCACATCTTCTAACAAGTCTAGGTATTGCATCCCGTCCAATCGATTTGGGAGAATAAATGGTCCACTGAGCATACCGTTCACCATGCCAGCCCAAACATTCACCGAAAATGTTTGTTGAAAATGTGCCCGACGGACAGCGTGCGGATTTTCTACTGACCAAACATGAGTGTTGCGAAAGTTATTCACCCCATTACGCGTGAACGTACATTCGTCTATCACCAATATGCACTTCAAAAAGCCCGGATTATTGTCATGTTGATGCAATAACCACTCACAAAACCGCACTCTTGCTGGAAAATCGTCAGGTTGAAGGGCTTGTACACGTTGGACGTGAAACGGATACAACCCCTCTTTACGCAGCGTTTGCCACACTTTAGTTTTTGATACTTGCACTTCTCTAGCCACGTCTCTAGTGCTTGTTGTTTTTAGAAACGCAATCGATTATAGGGGCTCGTTTACCTCTACACGCGTGACCGTAACCGGTCGGTTGAAGGTTGCATACTGACCTGACACACTGACCCCGGCCCACTTGTACCAGTCGGTGATATCGCGGGTCGTGGCTACAGCACGGTATCCAGATATTTTTGATGTTGCAGAGCCCTTTATCTCGGTTCCCTTAAGACATTGATGTATATGGTACTAAGAAAAATTGCTTATGTTTTCAAGATCTACACGTCGTGTAAAGGAAAACCCCAACTTTGCGGACACCCTGTATATTAACGGTATTGTTCGGTACACATTTTTCAATCGCCAGATGTGTGTTAGTCAAAGAATCACTTCCAAAGCGACTCATTTTCACTACACACGCTGACTAGCACTGTTATAAACAATATTACAAAATTTATTGACAATAAAATCAGAAAAAATGCCTAGCGTCATTTTCTGGTGTCCTAGCAGACCAAAATTCCTTGTTATCAAATGTATTGTAATTTTTGGTGACAACATCTGTCAAGTTTTGCCGCGGGTGAGCCCGAAAAAACTGCTGACAGGTGCTGTCAAACGGTTCTTCTATCTAGAAACCATATGTAATTCACAATTTCGCGTTTGTGATTGGTAGGAATTAAGAACCGCAAACAAACAGATAAAAAAAGGGGCTGCGCGTATCGATAACTAAGAAAATTGCATTCCGAATATTTCCAGAGAGAGACGGAGAAATTTTCACAAAATCATTGCTATTGTTTCTTTAGGCCAAAAATTACTGTGTTATCACATTAGACGAAAATACCCCTGGTTTTCGGAATAATTTTTTTGATTTTAATGATTGAAGTTGTTCAAGGGGATATTTAAACCATTCCGAAAGGTAAATGTTGCTTTAAGCGAAAAGCAAAGTGTGGCGTTTTTTTCTTCTAAACAAATTCCAACATTTCGAATTTATGAGTAATTTAACATATATTTGAAAAACATATATTACTATGCACATTTGAAAACAAAGCGGACGTGTCATCACCTTTTGTTGCGAAGAAGAATTTCTTCATAGTATGTGGGTCAAGAAGCAGGCAATTTTCCAAAAAAAAGTCCTATTTCACTTATGTTGCTAAGATTTCCATGTAGGTACTCATTCCATGTTAATAATGATGAAAAAAATGATATAAGTATTTCAATTCAATTGTCATACAAACAGGTTTGATTGTTGACGAAGATATCAAATTATGCTGTTAGACGCGTAGAAAATATAATATGTATAACATGATCCAGCATAATGAGATACCTGTATCAATTACATTGAGTATGGTCATTTATTATGTATGTATAATATTCGTTGCGTTTTAATATTACAAATGCACATAACATACAGTCAAGGAACAAACACATCATTTTAAGAAGAAAATGTAAACATTATAATGAATGGGTAGGTTAGGTAGCTATCAATTTGACCCGCAAAATTATAAAAGCTACGTCTCTACTAATGCAGGGTCCACATCAAAGCAACAGAACAAAAACAAGGAACAAAACAAAAACGCAACAAATTAGCAACATTTTATGCGTCCATGTTTTAAATATCACCTTGAACAACTTTACAATTATTTCGGGGAAATTTGCTAATACGATTACTACAAACTTTTGATGATCAGTTATTGAGTGATAAGAGATTCACTGCAAAAAACGCTCAATTTTGTCAGCCTGTCAGTTAGCCACATTAAGAGATGGTATTTCAGGGTTACAAAGTACCCCTAAGGAGCTTTTTGAAAAGCACTGTTACAATTATTGTCTTATTGAGCATATACGATAAGGGGTATGCCATATAAAGACTTGTAGCCTGGAGTAATATCATGACGCACGTATGTACGCTCAGGGGCTTTAAATTGATGGAAGATAACAGAAATGTAATATATTTATCGCGACATGGCCAGCTATGATTTATGTGATAAGCCACCTCGAATCTAGAAAATAACTTTGATTTATTTATCGATTGACTAATGGAAGATCATTTATAACCTGTTAAAAGTGGAGATATATTAAGACATTATATTAATGTACTGACATTGTTATATTAGATATTATATGATACAATAAATGCTGAAAACAATGTGTTGTTTATTTGTATATCTGACATCTGAATGATATCTTCAACATTCACTTGTTTACATGCGATAAACAGAGCACCACAAATCATTGCAGAAACTCAGTATTTTAAGGCCAGATAGATGGTATTCAAGAACTGATTCTTGGAGTTTTTGTACAGCACCGTTTTCGAAATATTTTTTTTTCAATTACAACAGGAAAGATCGCTATTGTTGAAGCCACTGCCCCACAGAGAAGTATCTTTCCTCTTCCTCTCTATGATTATTTGAACAATTGGGAAAGTATAGGAAAGAGACTGTACCATAATGAATTTTTTTCCAAGAAAACCGGAAAGATCGCAATTGTTAATTCCACTGCCCCACAAAGAGCCGTCCTCTGTCTCTGTATGATTATTTTAACAATCTTGAAAGTATAGAAATATACTAAGTGACATATAAATCCGAACACCTAGTTTAAATGGTTTTATTTTAATAAAATTTTGTATAAGTATTTAATGAAGCATAATAAGTAAATGATAAAAATTCCAAAATGATTGCACTGCTTTAAAGCCCTTTGACCTTTATTAATGTGCGGATGCACCCTGATGTGCTACGCATTCTCCAACGCGCCTAGGCATGCTTCTGATCAGGTGGTCAATGTCTTCCTGTGGTATCTCATTCCAGGCAACCACCAACTCCTCTCGAAGTGCTTCTAGAGTCTGAGGAGGACGTTTCAAATTGAGCAATCTCGTACCCATCATATCCCACACGTGCTCAATTGGGGATAAGTCGGGAGATGTTGGTGGCCATGGTAACAATGTGACATCATTATGTTGAAAGAAGTCTATTGTGACTCTTGCAACATGTGGTCGGGCATTACCTTGTTGGAAAGTCGGATCTGCCAGGGTGTCAAGATGTGCGTTCATGTTACCTCTGATGAAGATTAAAGGTGACCTGGAACCATAAGCTATAGCACCCCAAACCATAACTCCAACAGTGTGATGAACATGTCTTTCAACAAAAAGCTGTGGATTCCTCCTTTCACCACGTCGCCTTCTAACCCTGGCACGACCATCGTGCATGCCTAAACAAAATCGAGACTCGTCACTAAAGACAATACTGTTCCATTCCTGATCCCAGAGTGACCGTTGTCTGCACCACTCAAGGCGATTACGTCGGTGTTCTCGAGTTAAAGGGAGGACCCAGTGTGGCCGGTATGAAAACAAGCCAAAACTTCTCATTCGTCGGTAAACACTTCGCATGCCAATAGGTCTTCTGTGTTCTGCAAACCATTCATTTGCAATGGACCTGGTAGTGGAGAAACGGTCCCTTAAGGCCAATAATCTTAGGTGGCGATCTTCACGGTCTGTTGTTCTACGGCGGCGTCCAGTGCCCCTTGCTCTTTGCGTACGGCCTGCTCGAAGCCATGCCTGACAACACCTAACCACAGTGTCTACACTTCTTTGCACTCTAACTGCAATTGCCCGAAAAAGAAAGTCCAGCTTCCCAAGTCCCACTATACGGCCCCTATCAAACTCACTAAGTTGACGAAATCGTACAGGTCTCCGTACTCTAGGCATCGTAACTGATCGTAAAGGATGTCAAGAACCAAAATCCGCCAACGTTGATTCTTTACTGCGGCTGAAATATTCATTTTTAGAGCGTTAGTGAATTAAAAAAAAGCAGTATAAAAACCGGAATGTCCAACTGATAATGCTGAAAATTTTTTCACTTGTTATTTACAGTAAGATAAATACATTCACCAACTTTTATTAAAATAAAACCATTTAAACTGGGTGTTCGGATTTATATGTCACTTAGTATAGAAAAGCGACTCGTAAAGCTAGCATAACGTAATAATATAACCGCAAAGATCGCTATCGTTGATACCAGTGCCCCACAAAGAAGTAACCTTCCCTCTTCTCGTTCTCTCTCTATTAGTATTTGATCAATTGGAAAAGTATGGGAAAGCGACTTGTAATGCTAGCATAATGAAAGCAGTGACCTTGAATTTGACCTTAATTGATTAGGTCAAATCAAGTTCAAGATGATTTTTTAATGAGGCCATACACTTTTAACCCCAGTAATGGATAGAACGGAAGATATAGATTCAAATATGATCTTGACGGGAAATTATTACGACCTTGAACGTCTCTGGTCAAGGTCATGACTAAACGTAAAATGTTCCGCTATATCCGTTTTCGGGATGGAACGTATAAAGTACAATACAAAGAGTTGTCTAGACCATGACTTTACCGTTATGGTCAAGGTCACATTCAAGTTCATAGCCGAATAGCCACGCTGCTGTTAATAAAGTTTGTCTTGATATTGATTTCACCGTCAAGGCTCAATTTCAAGGTCATCAGTGACCAGCATGGAAAAACTGAAGCCCTTGCTGCCTCTGGGTTCTTATATTTGGTTCAACTGCCGAAAGTTCTCTGAATTATTTTCGAACGAGAAACGATCTCGACCATTAAGTCAAAATAATTTCCACCCAAGCTCGTATCTGAACCTAAAACGTACCAGTTTATGTGCCACCTGGGGAGTAGAGGATTACGTTAAAAAAAATTATATTGATTTGATTGTACCTTTAAGGTCACGCTCAAGGTCAAATTCAAGGTCACCACTGAACAGCAAAGAAAAATACGATAGCTCTATTATTTCTCAAATACAGCAGACGCTCAATAACGTAAACGCGGGATAATGAAAACTTGCGCTAATGTAAACACAAACTTCGTTCTATAGCATCAAACGGAACGTGCGATAACGTAAACAATGTGTACGCTCGATAACGTAAACAACTCTCGGCGCACGGAAACAGCGCGACGGTAAAATGCTGAAGCCTCGATGATTTATGTCGGAGTATGGAGTATCGAAAGCAACAATCTGTAAAATTAAGCGTATGAAAACTCAAATTTTACAAAGAACGTGCAATACATTTGGAGGTCCGGGAAAAAGAAAAACTTTAAAAAATGCGAAGGCACCTAAAATGGAAAGTTCTCTGTATAAGTGGTTTTTAAAATAACGGGAAAATCATGTCCCAGTTAGTGACGAAGTACTTAAACAGAGAGCGAGACTGTTAAATGAAAAACTGAAAGAAACTGAAAATTTCGTAGCTAGTGATGGCTGGATACAACGATTCAAAACAAGATATGGAATTCGACTGCTGTCTATATCTGGTGAAAAATTATCAGCACAACCACAATTAGTGCAACCATTCAAAGAAAAATTGATGAAAACAATTACCGAGCTAGATTGAAGAATGGAACAAATTTACAACGCAGATGAAAGTGGCCTTTATTGGAAAATGTTACCAGAGAAACCTATGCTGCATCATTTGAAAAATCTGCCCCGGGCAGAAAGCCAGATAAACAACGAATAACGTTTCTAGCCTGCACTAATGCTAATGGTTCACACAAAATAAAGCCACTGGTAATTGGGAAAGCAAAAAATCCGCGCTCATTTAAAAATGTTAATATCCCTGTTGATTATGACTGTTCAAAAACCGCTTGGATGACTAGCAGTATATTCCTGAAATGGTTCCACAGGTGCTTTGTCCCTCAGGTATGACAATCAATTATCCCAAATGCTCTATTCATAATTTGAAGATGTGTTTTCAATTTGTAGGTAAAATGTTTCCTAAAACAACAGAAGCTTCCAATAAAAGCGTTGTTACTATTGGATAATGCACCAAGTCATCCTCCCGAGCAACAACTGAGGAGCAGGGATGGGTCAATTTTCGTCATGTACATGCCGCCCAACGTAACAGCGTTCATTCAACCGATCGACCAGAATATAATAAGACTCACCAAACTATACTATAGGAAGTTTCTACTTTCGTCTGAAGCTTTAAAAAAAGTAACATTACGAGAAGCTGTTTTAGATTTACATATGGCCTGGAATGAACTTAACCAGCAAACTATTCAAAAATATTGGAACAATCTCTTTTGTACCAATAATGAAGATGATGAAGAAGACGATGTCCCCTTAAGCGTAATTAGAGAACGTTTGCGATCCAATAATGATAATGTTATTAGTGTGTCATTGGATGTTGTTGATTTATTGAAAACAGTGAATCCCAACATTGTTTGTAATCCTGCCGATATTAATTTATGGAACGAAGATAAGCAGACGAATGATGCTGATAAGGAGGAGGATATGGACAGTGAGGATGATGAGAACGATCCCATTGAAGTCAGAAGTGTAGTGACTGACGCGCAAGCTATACAAGTCTTTAACCAAGCTTTAGATTGGGCTGAAGGAAAAGAAGTTTCATACACGGATATTTTAGTTCTTCGTAAATTACGGGCGCAGGCATTGGAAGACAATGCTAAGCGCAAATTTACGCAGACAAAAATTGTTAATTATTTTTCTTCTAATTAAAAAAATACTTATCGCTGTTAGAATATTTGTTTATTTTGTTATAAATAGTAGGTATTAAACGTTTCTTTAAATGAATCAAATATTATATAAATCACGTTCGCTAATGTAAACATTTCGATTATGTGAACCTCACTTGGATTAAATTAGTTTACATTGTCGAGCGTCTGCTGTATATTGTAATTGGGTCACCCTGTATGAATCAGTCAAAGAGCTTGATGCGCTTAAGTACATTAAGGCAGTCGAAGCTCAATGCCATGAAAGAACAACAAAAACACGATGCGTTCCCCCAGATTTAAACGCATCGGGGATCACAGAGCAAAGCCGCCGCTCTCTTATAATAAGATGTCACCTAACAATCTAAAATTAACACAACTCGCATATATTATTATTTATATCTATAGTCCAACGGCGACCACTGCGCTAGATTTTTTCTCGCGAATTCACGCGTCAACATTGCATTATGAATCGGATCATTGAATAATTTTGGTTTTAATCGTGATGAACGGAGTTATTCTGAAAGTTGTCAAAGGTGTACTTGTTCCACAACCTACTGTATTCCTGCTGGAAGTTTGCCATGATTACGTGCATGTAACTGCGGAGGTTAGGTAAGTAGACTGTTTCGTTTCACGCATGTGTTTACGCTGGGTTGTTTTCTCTGTTTTGCTCGTTGGAGACGATGTTTGAGGCTTTTCTCTATTGGAATTCATTATGTTTGCTTCTATATTTGCGAATTGCCTATTCTAATAATTATTGTTTCTAGTTACCGCCGAGAATAAACTAAAATGTTTTCGTTGTTTTGTTGTTTATTCCTAGCTCTCAATCAGAATTGACCACGTGCACTCAGTTTTTTGTATATTTTAAGCTCGCAAAGGCTTAGTTGTAGGATATGGTGAAACGTAAAACCAGGGATACAGGTACTTGGAATCAAGATGCACTGAATGGATTATTGAGTTTTTTAGTGGAATGCGCCTAAGATAGTGTATACTAAGTGACATATAAATCCGAACACCCAGATTAAATGGTTTTATTTTAATAAAATTTGTATAAGTACTTAATGAAGCATAATAAGTAAATGATAAAAGTTTCAAAATGATTGCACTGCTTTAAAGCCATTTGACCTTTAATAATGTGTGGATGCACCCTGATCTGCTACGCATTCTCCAACGCGCCTAGGCATGCTTCTGATCAGGTGGTCAATGTCCTCCAGTGGTATCTCATTCCAGGCAACCACCAACTCCTTTTGAAGTGCTTCTAGAGTCTGAGGAGGACGTTGCAAATTGAGCAATCTCGTACCCATCATATCCCACACGTGCTCAATTGGGGATAAGTCGGGAGATCTTGGTGGCCGTGGTAACAATGTGACATCATAATGTTGAAAGAAGTCTATTGTGACTCTTGCAACATGTGGTCGGGCATTATCTTGTTGGAAAGTTGGATCTGCCAGGGTGTCAAGATAGGGTAAAGGATGGGGTTCTAGAACTTCGTGGATATAACGCTGCGCGTTCATGTTACCTCTGATGAAGATTAAAGGTGACCTGGAACCATAAGCTGTAGCACCCCAAACCATAACTCCAACAGTGTGATGAATATGTCTTTCAACAAAAAACTGTGGATTCCTCCTTTCACCACGTCGCCTTCTAACCCTGGCACGACCATCGTGCATGCCTAAACAAAATCGAGACTCGTCACTAAAGACAATACTGTTCCATTCCTGATCCCAGAGTGACCGTTGTCTGCACCACTCAAGGCGATTACGTCGGTGTTCTCGAGTTAAAGGGAGGACCCAGTGTGGCCGGTATGAAAACAAGCCAGAACTTCTCATTCGTCGGTAAACACTTCGCATGCCAATAGGTCTTCCGTGTTCTGCAACCATTCATTTGCAATGGACCCGGTAGTGGAGAAACGGTCCCTTAAGGCCAATAATCTTAGGCGGCGATCTTCACGGTCTGTTGTTCTACGGCGGCATCCAGAGCCCCTTGCTCTTTGCGTACGGCCTCCTCGAAGCCATGCCTGACAACACCTAACCACAGTATCTACACTTCTTTGCACTCTAACTGCAATTGCCCGAAATGAAGGTCCAGCTTCCCGAAGTCCCACTATACGGCCCCTATCAAACTCACTAAGTTGACGAAATCGTACAGGTCTCCGTACTCTAGGCATCGTAACCGATCGTGAAGGATGTCAAGAACCAAAATCCGCCAACGTTGATTCTTTACTGCGGCTGAAATATTCATTTTTAGAGCGTTAGTGAATTAAAAAAAGCAGTATAAAAACCGGAATGTTCAACTGATAAGGCTGAACATTTTTTCACTTGTTATTTACAGTAAGATGAATACATTCATCACTTTTATTAAAATAAAACCATTTAAACTGGGTGTTCGGATTTATATGTCACTTAGTATATTTAATATTTCTCTAAGTGTAAGATTCAGTATTAAGCATGTTTTTTCATGGTACGACGGCAGAGCTCATGAACGTATTTCAGTATTTTCAGCAACGTGCCATCTTAGTTTTAAATACTATTCTCTCTACCAATCTTTGTATAGAAAACGGATAGTCCAAAGCACTCCTTGTCAATTCGTTCAAACCACGATGTAGCAAATTTTGTCAATTCGATGAATGATTCATTGCAAAAGATCAGCCTTATTTTCTGGTGACAATGAACTGCTTCCATCCGAATATCCATACAAAGTTTCCAGGACATACTCCATATTTCGCATCTCAACTTCAGGCATTAACATAAATTCCGGGAACACAGCGGGAAGTGACATGTGTGATGAGAATCAACATAAACAACACGTGTGCACACCCCCATATTTGTTGTTCGTTCCTTTTGGTTTATTCCAGACATGTATTTGTTTCACTTGCATCTCGTTTATAGCCGGTTAGCAAACACGCTTTCTAAAAAAGCTTGAGTACAGAAAACATCACTAAAAAAAATGACGTCAAGTGGGTGGACTCTGCACTGCCCACGCAACGCTCTCCATAACGGATTAGGTTCAACATGAGTTCAACGCTCCGAGAAAAAAATAGTTAAGAACATTACAGTAAGAAAATCAAACAGATCAAGTCAGTCAAAAAGGCCCATACAAATACTTTATGAATCGATTCCAAATAGTTCGTCCAAATTAGCAGTACTCTACCCCATCAAAAATTTGTTCTGGTGTACCACAACCCCCTTGTTATACTAAGTGACATATAAATCCGAACACCCAGTTATGGTTTTATTTTAATAAAAGTTGGTGAATGTATTTATCTTACTGTAAATAACAAGTGAACAAATTTTGAGCCTTATCAGTTGGACATTCCGGTTTTTATACTGCTTTTTTTTAATTCACTAACGCTCTAAAAATGAATATTTCATCCGCAGTAAAGTATCAACGTTGGCGGATTTTGGTTCTTGACATCCTTTACGATCGGTTACGATGCCTAGAGTACGGAGACCTGTACGATTTCGTCAACTTAGTGAGTTTGATAGGGGCCGTATAGTGGGACTTCGGGAAGCTGGACTTTCTTTTCGGGCAATTGCAGTTAGAGTGCAAAGAAATGTAGACACTGTGGTTAGGTGTTGTCAGGCATGGCTTCGAGAAGGCCGTACGCAAAGAGCAAGGGGCACTGGACGCCGCCGTAGAACAACAGACCGTGAAGATCGCCGCCTAAGATTATTGGCCTTAAGGGACCGTTTCTCCACTACCAGGTCCATTGCAAATAAATGGTTTGCAGAACACGAAGGACCTATTGGCATGCGAAGTGTTTACCGACGAATGAGAAGTTTTGGCTTGTTTTCATACCGGCCACACTGGGTCCTCCCTTTAACCTCGAGAACACCGACGTAATCGCCTTGAGTGGTGCAGACAACGGTCACTCTGGGATCAGGAATGGAACAGTATTGTCTTTAGTGATGAGTCTCGATTTTGTTTAGGCATGCACGATGGTCGTGCCAGGGTTAGAAGGCGACGTGGTGAAAGGAGGAGTCCACAGTTTTTTGTTGAAGACATGTTCATCACACTGTTGGAGTTATGGTTTGGGGTGCTATAGCTTATGGTTCCAGGTCAACTTTAATCTTCATCAGAGGTAACATGAACGCGCAGCGTTATATCCACGAAGTTCTAGAACCCCATCTTTTACCCTATCTTGACACCCTGGCAGATCCAACTTTCCAACAAGATAATGCCCGACCACATGTTGCAAGAGTCACAATAGACTTCTTTCAATATAATGATGTCACATTGTTACCACGGCCACCAAGATTTCCCGACTTATCCCCAATTGAGCATGTGTGGGATATGATAGGTAGGAGATTGCTCAATTTGCAACGTCCTCCTCAGACTCTAGAAGCACTTCGAGAGGAGTTGGTGGTTCATTAAGTACTTATACAAAATTTTATTAAAATAAAACCATTTAAACTGGGTGTTCGGATTTATATGTGACTTAGTATATTTTCATACTATATCTCAGATTCATAAACAGAGGTAAAATCATGCAGCATAATTTTTTGCCGACGATACCCAGATTTTTTTATTCATTTAGGAGTAATGCCTTAAAAACAACGAATAATAACGTCGATAAAGATCTTGCCCTAATTAAAAAGCTTATTAGTAGTCATAATTTCCATTTAAAACCCTTTAATTCCTTGGAAATTGTTAACTAACGTATGTTTTTTTTATGTACCTAGTTTAAGTATGCTTTATTATTGTCGTTATTATATATTATTAATATATATTATATATTATTAATTTTTACAATTTTTTTGTTTATAAACACCTCGCATTGTTAAGGCGGTTAGGTGATAGAATAAATGTAGTATCTGAATCCCACCTCCAGTAATGTTATTACAAAAATGACAAAGACGTTAATTATAATACTAATTATTATTATTTCCCTGCTCCACCGGTAGTTACCGTCCATCTGGCAACGTTGTCCCTTACCAGAAGGAGGCTCTATAAAGTCATGCAGGTAGAGCAGATTTGATGGCAGCTGCTTTACGATCATCTGATGCTCGCAAAAATATAATGAGATCATTCCTGTCAGATATCTGGAACGAATACATTGATATTACTCTCTTTAGTATTTGATTGTTGTTGAAAGCCGAAATTCGAGATTTTGCCATTTT